GACATTTCCTCTTGCTGTCTTTAGAAGGCCGTAATTGTGTAGATCAGTTCTTCTTATGGCTTGACCCTATTGTTAATGTTGATCAATGCATTATTGTACAGTTCATCATTATATGAAATCTCAATATCTGTTAACTGCACATGTAATTGGTGTTTGTAATCTTCAGCTAAGTTGTGCTTGTGTTTATCCCAAAGCCCTAATGAATCACTTATTTCACGACACGTAATGAGGATGGAAAAAAACAGCACGAATTCTTCTTACACTTACAGAAGCTCCTGTTAAAGTGGCATCCTATCATGCATCTTCCAATAGATCACTTTTGAAGCAAGGTTCTCGATACATTAAGAATACTGTTCCATCGACTGTACGGATATCTTCGACGGAATTAGGACCTTTCACGTGATTCAACGGTACCCAGAGAAAGAAACATTCTTGTTGGTTGGGATTTACAGTATACACTCTTTCAAGCGCAATATTAAATTTGATGTCTGAAAATCCATTTCTTGGTTCACCTCTTTTTCGTCTGTTCCAGTTATAATTTTGACACGTATAATATGATGGAAGCTGATGATAAAAGATACCCTTAGCAAAATTATTTCTTGCCCAAGGACTGAAGAAAACTGTAAGTGTAGTCTCACCTGGAATTAAGATTTGCCGAGAGCTGCATTTGCCGCAATGATGCAAAGTCTTTGTCTATTTTCTGCATGAACAACTAATGGCTGAACTGTTGGCTATCGCTCATGAATTGGAAATTTAAGTATCCTTGAAATTAATTGCTGCTAATGTTTCTACCTTGCATGTACATGCTTACTTTGGGTTCATGTTTTATTTACTTATTTTCGCTCGTATTGTTTGTTTCTTGTAAAGCAAACACAACTGCATCTGATATTTTGTTGACATGTTTGCAAACATATTTAATTGGCTTTACTGAGTTACAGTTGTCCTGAGTGAAACAATAAACTACATCCGCGTCCTGGGTAAGACGACAAACAACATCCATCAGCAAGGCAACTGATCAGGTTGTTTTGAGGAGTTTGTAACCACCTCTTAATTGTTAGTGATCACAGGTCAACCTTGACCCGTGGTAGTAGCACCTGATAGGGTTCCAGGTTGGGCAAATAGTTACCCTCCACCCAGACATTACGAATGTGTAAAAATAGGTTTTGATACCAAAAATACATTTTTGTAAAAAAATATTACCAGAAATGTATATTTGAAGGAAAAAATATTATCAGCAATACATTTTTGTAAAAAAATATTACCAGCATAAAAATCTTGTCGGCTTTAAATATCCACTGAGGTGATGATATGCCGTAAACCAAACCAAAACTAACAAAAATTATAAACTAAATAAAAATGTCAAAATCAATTTCTCTACAAATCGAAAGAATATGTCAGTGAAACCAGACTCACGACAAAAAACCTCTTTAACAAAAGTATATCAACGGAAATGGATCAACAATGTGATTCCTTACAGAATATATATATATCAGACATTTTATGTTTATACATTCTTTTTATAGATACAAATATTTAAGTAAATGCTCTGTTTATAATAAACAGTATTAAACAACATTTACCACCCTGAATGTCCGAGAAATTTTCATAGAAAATATTCGTCCTCCGACAGGATTCGAACCTGTATCCTATACGGAACCGTCATATAGCTTGTCGTGCTTTTACCGATTTCGCCACAGAGGAGCCTTTCCAGACAGTAAGGTCGATTTTACTGTTTTTTTACTTGCTAACCGAAACGCTCCTCATGGAATGATTATCAATCAAACAACGTGTTAAAGTTCTCGAAGCCTATTATGAAAATGGATGTTCAAACAGAATTTAAATGAGAATTTCCCTAAGTCGCATCATCTCTCGAAATAGCAAAGTCAATTGGCCACCACGATCGTGCGACTAGACGCCTTTAGAATTCTTTCTTTGGGGTCATCTGAAAAGTAAGGTCTATAGCAAGAAGCCAACAATTCAAAAGCTGAAGGATGAGATAATAAGGTATATTGGTGGGATCGAGGAGCAACTATTCAGAGACGACATCAAAAAGTTTGACCATCGAGTGGAGGTGTTCTACTGAAGCCTTAGCTGGAACATTTGGGCGATATTAGTTTTCATACATACTTTCCATGACTTAAATAATATGATCTAATAGAGAAATAAATGAATTTTCACCAATAACACTGATGTATTTACTGCTCACTTTGATCCGTCTTAATGAAACACCCATTATAATTCACATGATTGGTGTAAATTTTTGCTATCACCCATATCAAGATGTGTATATGAGGGAGAGCTCGTTTTTACCACTCAGAGGTATACATGTAGCATCATAGAACATTGAAAACTTTCGTTGTTGTAATCATTTCAATTAATTTGATCACTTTTAACCCGAACACTCTTGCAATTCGGTCAGATCTGTTCTGTAGCCTTGCTAGGTAGAAATACAGCTTTAAATTATTACAGGTGAATTCTATAAACAAATCGATGCATCCATAATGTGAAGGGTATGTCATTGCATCTGGAGTTCTTCCATGCATATATCTTGGAATTCTAACAAAACTTGATGGATGAATGATTGGTTGACCAATTTTACCTATTTATCATTGTTAATGTCATCTCGTAGATGGATATATGATGATGCTCTTAAATCTAATTGGTGAGACTTGATGTATGTTAATCTTACTCCCTCCATCTTGGCATACATCTCGACAAGAATATGGTGAAGCATTTTGGGCTCTGGGAATGTGATTAAAAGAATTTTCTCGGGTTTTAAGGAAGTAAGCATAAAAGCTTGTGCATGATACAGACATACTGGAGATTCTTCCAAATTGATGAATTCTAGAATTATACCCATCTTCACCGTTGACCAAAGATAGAAGGTAATGTAAAGTATCAAAGATGTGTCCCAAATATTCTTTTAGGCATATTATTATGACTTTGAAGAAAAATATCAAGTTTTTCAAGTCTTCTCCAGTGATTAATACAGATATTAATTGCAATGAGGTGTATTGAAACATCGGGAATGATCACTTGAGGAACTTTAGCATTTATAACAATCTTGCAATCAGGGGACGGTGATGTTTTTAAAGCAAATTTAAAGTTCTTTACATAACTGTTCTTTTCATGTAACAGCACTTGCAGCTTTTTGATGGTGACAACGTTTGTAACTAGTTGCATTAACTCTTTTTTGAGCCTGTCGAACGAAATATGACGTAACATAATGTTGAAGAAATTGAATCTCTTTATTTGGTAAGGCCAATAAAGATTCAATTCGGTCATACAGTTGACCTTGACCTTTATATATCAGAAGACATCCTCTCTCACGAATTATTTTAAGAATGTCTTTGGAATAATTTTCACTAGTGCTACTAATTATTCCAAAGACATTCTTAAAACCTTCAGAACTATAATTCTGTATTCCGGATTATCTCTTTTGGCGCTAAGATAATTCGTGAGAGAGGATTTCTGCCGATATATAAAGGTCAAGGTCAACTGTATGAACGAATTGAATCTTTATTCAATGTTCCCTCAGTGGCTCTGGAGGATCATGTAGAAGCCTCAACTTGACATTACCACGTATGCAGTACATATCAGGAGGTTCATTTTTCCTACTTCTTTGCTCCGAAATAGGTATGAAATATTACTGAACTAATGTTCACTTTGGGATGAGACGCATAATCAGTCGTTGGATCATAATCCATACCGCCCAAGTGTCACTAGAAAAATCCTGTTGCGAGAGTGAAAAATTCTTGACCTGTCTAGAGAAAGTCTTTCGAATGATTCCACTTCAGTTTCATTTTGTCTTTCCTGTTGATTTCTTGCCTTCATCTCTTCCAACCTCTGAGATCTCCATAGTTCAGATTAATTCTGTCTTTCTTGTTGAATTCCTACCCTCATCAGTCCAAATCTGTGAAATCTTCGAAAGTCAGCTTCATTTTGTTTGTATCTTCCAATCCTTGTTGTTTCTACAAACACTTGCTCCCTTTGTTCTTACCTTTGATCATGTCTTATTTGTTCAATTCTGATTTTGTTACCTTAGAGCCTCAAATGCCTTTGTTCTTCTGTTCCAAATAATCTCTGTCACTTTTTCGAAATGGCAGCAGGGGATTTTCTTCCAAGAGAGGAATTTTCTTGTAGGGCATACTAGATCACCCCGTAACTATTTTGCTGTCTTAATTTTACTAATATGGTTTGCAGTAGATCTTTTACTACTAAAGTACTTCCACTAATTTATGACAAATCACCAACAAAGGATTAGAAGGGCTAAAGTAAGCTCATATTTTTAAGTATTGCAGGATATTATGTCATATAAATGTCAGCTCAGATGCAAGGTTGAACTTGTTAACTCAAGTTGTTTATTACAGAATTGATTTTATGTCCTTTGGGATAACTTATAACACTACCTCAAATGTTTTTGATTCTCTACAAATTTCATAAATGAATTTTGTTCAAAATAATTCAATGTGCAAAGGTCTTTTACTGCGCATAGACCCCATTTTTGGCCCGATGGTGGTTGCACTATTGTTCCTTTCTAAAAGAGAACATGTTCAAATGGTTATACTTTTTGATTCTCTACAACTTTTATTCATGAAATCTTTCAAAATAATGTGAAACAATTACGATATATGGAACTCATTTTGGTCCCTGGGGGACGCACCATACCCGCCCATCATGTATTAATAGCCTCAAACCTAAGTTAGGTCCAAGCCTATCTCCTCGTGAAAGTTTGATCAGGATTGGTCTAGTATATTTTATTTCCATAAAGGACATATGTAAATACGTGCAAGCTACTTGATAATATAGATTACATTCTTCTTCTACTTTGTGCGCATGTGTAGTTACGTCAACAGAAACATTACTTTAGTCTGATTATGTTCTAAAATATGGAATGCGTCTCACCAATATATTTTCATTTTGTTATTAATTTTCCTAACTTTGGTCTGGAATATACAAATTTACATATCATTTTATCTCATAGCTGTCAGAATTCATTTATGTATCTATATTTAGACGATCTTTCTTTTCTTTCTTTCTTTCTTCACTTAGTTTTACTTTCATTCATTCTTTCTTTCTTTCTTTCTTTATTCCTTCTTTCATTCTTTCTTTCTTTCTTTATTCCTTCATTTCTTTCTTTCTTTCTTTCTCTAATTAGCTTTTCTTTCTTTCTTTCTTCACTTAGTTTTTCTTCCATTGTTTCTTTCATTTTTCTTTCTGTCTTTCTCTACTTAGTGTTTCTTTCTTTTCTTTCTTTCTTTCTTTTTCCTACATTTATTTCTTTCTCTTCTTTCTTTTCTTTCTTTTCTTTCTTTCTTTCTTCACTTAGTTTTTTTTTCATTCTTTTTTCATTCTTTCTTTCTTTATTCCTACATTTCTTTCTTTCTTTCTCTACTTAGCTTTTCTTTCTTTCTTCACTTAGTTTTTCTTTCATCCCTTCTTTCATTCTTTCTTTCTTTCTTTCTACCTTCATTTCTTTCTTTCTCTACTTAGCTTTTCTTTCTTTCTTTCTTTCTTTCTTTATTTATTTCCTCACTTATTTTTTCTTTCATCCCTTCTTTCATTCTTTCTTTCTTTCTTTTTTCCTTCATTTCTTTCTTTCTTTCTTTATCTACTTAGCTTTACTTTCTTTTCTTTTTTTCTTCACTTAGATTTTTCTTTCTTTCTTTCTTTCTTTCTTTCTTTAACTAGCTACTCTTCCTTCTTTATTTGTTTCTTTCATGACTTTTTTTGCCTTCAACCATTCGTTCTCCCTTTCTTTTTTGTTCGTTCTTCACTCAGCTTTTCTTTTACTAATTTTCCTTTCCTTTCTTTTTTTTCTTTCATTCTTTCTGTTGAGCGCAAACAATCTACAGCGCGCTTTCAATTCACTAAACTCAAATGTCTCCCCCCCATATTAATCAAACGTCACAGGATCCCAACTCAACTTATTTTTTTATTTTCCTTGTTTATCAATGTTTAAATTTACTTCTTTTTCCATCACTTTTAATCATCTGCGTGTTCACCGTTGTGTTCGAACCATAAATAACCCTTCAAACAACGGCTTCACTTGTATGGCATTAATGTTAGGTGCACACCATTTATACACCTCGCAAAATAACTCTCCGGTTGCGGGTGGTCTCACTTGTTACTCAGAAGCTAAATACCTTACTCTCCTTTCTCTCTTTCCTCTCCCCAATTATTACTATTATTAAAATTATTATTTCGTTTTTGGAATTACTATTAGAAATGATTTCTGCATTTCCACGGATTCTTTAAGTTGACGATCTTCATGTAGACGCTCATCAATACACGTGCATATTCAGAAATATATAGTTGCTGGCTAAAATTAGCCAACTTGGCCACAATGCCGAAGTAGGTGGGGGGCACTGCGCGTCGAGTTTGGTTACCTTAACGTCAGAATAAGCAGCTACTTTAAGAAACACGCAAGTATAGACATATCACATGGAAACACCGTTTCTCTAACGTTAAGCAACGTCGAGCCTGGTTAGTATCTAGACGAGTGACCGCTTGGGAATACCAGGTGCTGAAAGCTTTTCTGTGCGGGTGCTGTAACGGGTGCTGTGATAATGTTTTGGAATCTGAATCCGGATATCCGGGTTCAAATTTCAGCCGGGTGCTTTATATTTAATTACGCTCATATATGCTCAGGAAAGGTAAGAATTAAATAACCTGCAAATGTAAAAAAAACAATCAATCAATCATATATATATATATATATATATATATATATATATATATATATATATTTCACTGTTGGAAGTGTTACCTGATGATCCAAAATCCTTTAAAAAGGATTTTGGTGAAATAAATTATTGTGATGGTACCTTAAAGTGGTGTGTTTTTCATTAAATATTTAGCTCTGTTCTTCACATTGAGCTCTCAGGATTTCATCCACCTTAGATTTACCAATTTGGTTTTTGGTTTACCAAGTTCTTCATAACTTATATATATATATATATATATATATATATATATATATATATATATATATATATATGAAGGCATCTTTCGTTGTACAGTTTAAACAAATTCTCTCTAATTTTTGTCGATAAGATCCCTTCTTACTCTAGGATAAGTTTTTCGATGTCCTTAATGAAAGATGAGAGAAAATCGCCGTGTTTATATATATTTGTTTTATTGCCAAGTACTTTCGACATATCCATCATCAGGCTATTGTTTATAATAAAATAATTATTATTATAGTTACCTGGCTTTAAACGGTTTCAATGGTCACACTCTGATGCAGCGTCCCTCACTCAGTTTAGCTTTCAGAACGGTTTTAGCGGTCATGCACTGCCGTAGTGTTTCTCTCACCATTTTGAGGATATTTAACTTTCAGATAACACAACAATGTGTCTCCGACAATAATGGATACTATAATATTTATTTTTTATTTAGCTGAAAATATAATTAATACCTATTATATACTGTACTATGAACTGATGTGTATGTCCCAATCCCCATAAATACGTTGGACACTGTTGTAAGTAGGGGGGATATGCTGTCTAAGTAGTCTACCACTAGGAGTGGTTTACCTACTTCACGCTGCTGGCGAGTATTGTATTTTGTTGATGTTATAAAGATTAGTATTTCATTTCCAAACTCCATTTTCGTATTCGTCGTTCAGTGACATTTTTTAGGTTAGAAAAGAATGACATTTTATAAAGTTGCCATGTTTTTCTATTTATTTAGCTTTATCTGAAATCACGAAAATGAAATATTTCTGACAAAAAAGGATGAAAACGCTAGATTGGTTCGAACTTTTGACGGCCGACTGGAGTGGAAAGGATCTGAGTTTAGTGAACTGAAGACACACTCTATGTAGCTTAGAAAGAAAGGAAGAAGAAAGGAAGAAAGAAAGAAGCAAATAAACAAACAAAAAACAAAGAAAGAAAGAAAAAATAGTGAAAGAAAAAGAGAAAGAAATAAATGAAGGAGAAATGAATGAATAATGCATGAAAGAAACAAGCAAGGAAAAGGAAAAAGTAAGAGTAAAATAAAAGCTGAGTTTAAAAAGAAATAAGAAAGAAAGTATCACGCAGACAACAAGGAAAGACAAACGGTGAACGAAAGAAGTGAAAGAAAAAAAAGAAAGGCAGGAAGAAAACATGAGGGAATAAGAAAGGAAGAAAGAAAGATAAATGAAAGACATCAAGGAAAAAGAGAACGATTAAAAGTCCTGGTGTGTGAAGAAACAAAGACATGAAGAAGAAAAAATGAAGCAAGCAAAGGAAGGAGGAAAAGAAAATATGAATGGAGAGAGAGAAAGAAAAAAAGAAAGTATACATTGTGGATTGTCGATGTCATTAATGAAAGACAAGAGGAAATGGACGTGTTTATATATATTTGTTTTATTACCAGGTACTTTCGACATATCCATCATTAGGGTATTGTTTATAATAAAATATATATTATTATATTTACCTCACTTTAAACGGTTTCAGCTGCCACACATCGACGCAGCGTCTCACTCAATTTATCTTTCAGAACGGTCATGCACTGCTGTAGTGTTTCTCCCTTCATTTTGAAGATATTAACTTTCACATAACACAACAATGTCTCTCTGACAATAATGGATACTATAATATTTATTTTATTATTTAGTTGAAAATATAATTAATACCTATTATATACCGTACTATGAACACTAATGGGCATGCCCCAATCCTCATAAATACGTTGGACACTGTTTGAAGTAAGGGGAATATGTTATCTTAGTACGAGTGGTTTACCTATTTCATGCCGCTGGCGAGTATTGTATTTTGTTGACGTTATAAAGATTAGTATTTCATTTCCAAATTCCGTTTTCGTTAGTCCTCATTCAGTAACATTTTTTAGGTTAGAAAAGTATGACATTTTATAAAGTTGCCATGTTTTGTATTTATTTAGCTTTATTTGAAATAAGGAAAATGAAATATTTCTGAAAAATAAGGATGAAAACACTATTTTGGTTCGAACTTATGAGGGCCGACTGGAGTGGAAAGGATCTGAGTTTAGTGAATTGAAGACACACTGTATGTAGCTTGCGCTAAATAGAAAGAAAGAAAGTAAGAAGGAAAGAAAGAAACAAACAAATAAACCAACAAATAAACAAACAAAAAAAAAAACAAGCAGAGAAAGAAAAATAGTGAAAGAAAAGAAGAAAGGAATAAATGAAGGAAAAATCAATAAATAATGAATGAAAGAAACAAACAAGGAAAGAAAAAGTAAGAGTAAAATAAAAGCTGAATTTAGAAAGAAATAAGAAAGAAAGTATCAAACAAACAAGGAAAGACAAATGGTGAACGAAAGAATGGAAAGAAAAAAAGAAAGGCAGGAAGAAAACATGAGGGAATGAGAAAGGAAGAAAGAAAGATAAATGAAAGACATCAAGGTCAAAGAGAGAGTAAAATTAATGGTTTGTGAAGAAAGAAACACATGAAGAAGAAAGAAATGAAGCAAGCAAAGGAAGGAGGAAAAGAAAATACGAGTGGAGAGAGAGAGAAAGAAAGAAAGTGGAGAAAAAAAGAAAGTATACATCGCGGATGTAAGGACGCGTGAAAAAATATAACCAGGAGAGGGATGAACTACACTCTGCTGTGATATCCACTGCGAACCTGCACTTAGGAGAAGGTTACTGTCTAGAAAATATTCAAACCAACCTCTGGATTGAATACTAAAAGGACGACCGCCATGACAAATGATCTAACAGTAAATACCAAACCCTCACAACATTGGAGAAGCTCGTGACAATGAATCTAGATATCCAAAAGCGTTTGATAGGGTTTGAATGGGGGCATACCCATTATCGTCCGTCGTATGCTTACGGGATACGGAATCTCAGGACGATTATTTGACAATACAATCATTCCTGTCAAACCGTATAAGGAAGGTTGAGGTGCCAACAGAGTCTCATCCAGTTCGTCTCTCACGAACGCAGATTTTGTATCTATGGTTCTATCCTCGGCCCTAATCATCAGGTTTTTTGATCTTCAGTTTTAATTGATATTCCCGATGTCATCAGTTCCCAAGTAGTCATCTATGCAGACGACATTATTGTTTGTCTTGCCTAAATTTTAAACCTTTTAATTTGTTTTGGCAAAACTAACCTGAAAATTGGGCTCAACATTAAAGGACCCACAATCTGCGTCTGACTGGGGCAAAAAATGGCTGGTTAAAAAAATACTGCTCTCGAATTACCCACCACTAAAAACCAGTGATGCCTCCCATTAGAATATCGGATGCTCAAATCCATTTTTATGCCTCTCGGCGCCTGATTGGCGTCCGCTGACCTGAGATGGAACAAATATATTGAATCAAAAAATAAAATCAAGCAAGGAAAGTTGGTTCTCTTGGTCGCGTTAGAAAGTTTTTACTCGTCCGAGTCCATTCTCAAAATCTATAAATCAACTATTCGCCCTATTTTTATTTACTTGCCATATTTGTTCATTGGTTAATTTTTTTGTTCGTTTTAAGGTCCTTCTTAAAGATGGATACGCAATGTAATTGGCCAAGATCTGGCATCTCGTTTACGGTTTTTCCCTCAGAGACGCCTATAAATCCCTCTGTCTTTCTAGAATGAATTATTTGACGATAAGTGCTCCGACGAGCTACTTTCAGAGGCCGCCCAAACTGCTTGAATTTAAACGCGGCCACCAGGTTTTGTATC